TGAACATGCAAGGAAGGGTGGTAACTGAAAAACACAATGCAGAAAGCTAAAAAAGTCCACCAAGTTGTAATACCCAAGCACCTCTTCCTATGTATACAAATAATATACATACTGAAACTCCAAAGAAAAGGAAACAAAGGACCTTTTCTTAATTTGTCTTTTCATTTTCTCATGATTCTGTATTCTTTACACAGTGTATTATAGTATATCATGTGCACATCTGAGGGAAGGTAGGGGGAGGGCACAGAATCAGTGGAAAACAGATAAAAATGTGCAGTAGCAGAGCCCACCAGCTGCACTGGACATTGATGAAAGTGAACCAGGTAACTCGTGGGCCGAGATGGGAGGGAGGGAATGGAGAGAATGAGGGAACAGATGATACTAAGCAAAAGGAAAGACATGTACTTATTACCTGACTATGTAAAGGTAACCCTGCTGTATGTCACCTCTAAAACAACAAAAAAGTGTAGATAAATCTAAAAAGAATTAACTCTATAGGACAGGAACAAAAAGTATCATGAAGGTTAAAATGGCAACAAAAATACTTTTAACTTGTAAAAGGCAGTAACTAGAGTTAGATATAGCCAACTCAAAAAGAGGGCAGAGTCAACATTTAACTTTAGATCCTACTAATGTGGATATGCAAGCTGAAAAGTGAAGGCAACCATTAAAACAATAGAAATGGAAGGTACAGAGGTAATAATAAAAATATAAGGTACACTTTTATTATAATATTTTTTAATTCAATAAAGAAATCCCCTTTTTAAAAAAAAATCCTTCAGAGCCAGGCGCCAGTAGCTCATGCCTGCTCAGGAAGCTGAGATCTGAGAATCATGGTTCAAAACCAGCCCGGGCAGGAAAGTCTGTGAGATTCTTATCTCCAATAAACCCCTAGAAAACCAGAAGTGGTGCTGTGGCTAAAGTGGTAGAGCTCTAGCTTTGAGCTGAAGAGCTCAATGGACCAAAAAAAAAAACCTCAGAAAAAAATAAATAAATACAAACCAGAACCAACAGAAGCAGGCATAGTAATGTACACCTGTAATCTCAGTACTATGAAGGCAGCGGCAGGGGGATTGAGACAGACTAGGCTATATAACAAGTTCAAGGCAAAGTTGAGTATCATCACACTGTGATACTCTGTGTCAAAGAGAAGGGAGGAAAGAGATAGGGAAGGTAGGGAAGAGAAGGGTAGTAGATGTGAAGGAAATTTAAAAAGGAAAATACGAAAAAAATGCCACTATCGATAGCAACAAAAAAAATACATAAATGAATAAATTTAGGCAAAGAGTAATCACTGAAAACTACAAACACTGATAAAGGAAACTGGAGACAGAAGTTGTTGATAGAGAATCAAAGTTCATATATTAGAAGATTTAAAACTTAATTTAAATGCCCATACTATTCAAAATGATTTGCAGTTCCAACATAATCCCTATCAAAATTTCAATGGCATTTTTATAGCAATAGAAAAAACTAATTATAAAATCCATATGGAACCACATACTACCCTAAATAATCAAATAATCTTAAGAACAAAGAAGTATCATATCCTCTGATTTCAAAACATATTACAAACCTGCAGTAATCAAAATAGTATAGTATTGGCATAAAGACCAACATACAGACCAATGAAAAAGATACATATACATACAAACATACAGTCAACTGATCTTAGACAAGAGTAACAAACCACACAATGGGAAAAGGGACAGCCTTCAAAAAAAATGGTACTGGAAAATTATATATCGACGAAGGAAGCAAGGAAGGGAAGAAGAGAGGGAAGGGAGGGATGGGAAGGAAGGGAGGGAAGGAAATGAGGGAGAGGGAAGGGAAGGGGAGGGGAGGGAGGGAAAAAGGGAAGGAGAGAAGAGAAAGAACGGAACCCTCATCTTAAACTACATACAAAAACATAAATAAAACTTTAAAATTCCTAAAAGAAAATACAAGAGATAAACTTCATGACATTTGGGCAATGCTTTTTTGGATATGACCTCACAAATAGTACTTCTAAAATTAAAAAAGAAAAGTTTGTGTACAGCAAAAGACAAGTAATAAATGGAAAAAAAGGCAACCTAGAGAATGGGAGAAAAAAAATTGCAAATCACTATCTGAATCTCAGACTGGTTCAACAGTAGCAAAGAATAATAATATGAGCCACCATTTTAAATAGTTCAATAGCCAAAATCTATTACTAAATTGAATAGATGTACACACTTAAGATAATCTATCCATTTTTCATGGTAAAAGTCAAAACTATTATGAGATATTACCTCACACCTATGAGAATAACTACTGTCAGAAAGGCCAAAGATAATAATAGCAAAGATGTAGAAAAAAGGGAACCCACTTAGTAGGAATCTAAATTAGAATCAATACGAAAAAATAGAAAGGAGATTCACTAACAAATTAAAGGCCAGGTACAAGTGATTCACACCTGTCGACTCAGCTACTTGGGAAGCTGAGAAAAGAGGATCGAGATTCAAGTCCAGTGCCGGTGGCTTGTACTGTATCCAAATTACTCAGGAGCCTGAGATCTAAAGATCATGTTTGAAGCCAGCTCATCAGGAAAGTCCATGAGATTCTTTTCTCCAATTAACCCCCAAAAGGTCAGAAGTGGAGCTGTAGGTCAAATGGCAGAGCACCAGTCTTAAGCAAAAAAGCTCAAGGACAGTGCCCAGAACCTGAGTTCAAGCCCCAGAACGAACACACACACACACAAACACATACACACACACATCAACTCTAGCTCACACAGAAAAATCTACAAGACTCGATCCATCTCAATAGAAGAAACTGCATGGTAGCACAAGCCTGTCTTCCCAGCTACAACAGAAAGCCCAAAATAGGCTCATACCTATAATCCTAGCTACTCATGCTTCAAAGCCTAAACAGAAAGAAAAATCTGTGAGATTTTATATTCAATTAACCAGAATGAGTTGGGCTGGAGGAATGGCTCAACTGGTAGGGCTACTCCCTAGCAAGAATAAGTCTCTCAGTTCTAATCCTAGTACCCTCCCCAAAAAAATTAAAATACAACTACAAGATAAGCCAACAATTTCACTTTCAGATATATATAAAGACATTAGATATAAAGAAAGAGAAATTATATTGAAAAGAGCAAGTGTAAAGCCTTAAATTCAAACCTGGTACCAAAAAAATTATAATAAAAACTGTAAGACAGGTGTTGGTGGCTCATGCCTATAATCCTAGCTACTTAGGAGGCTGAGATTTGAGGATCGTGGTTCAAAGACAGGCTGAGCAGTGAAGTCCATGGGATTCTTATCTTCAATTTACCACCAGAAAACCAGAAGTAGCACTGTGGCTCAAAGTAGTAGAGTACTAGCCTTGAATGAAAAAGCTCAGGGAGGGCTGGGAAGGTAGCTCAGTGGTAGAGCGCTTGCTTTGCATGCCTGAGGCTCTGGGTTCGATTCCTTAGCACCACATAAGAAAAAAGAAAAAAGCCAGAAGTGGCGCTGTGGCTCAAGTGGTAGAGCGCTAGCCTTGAGCTGAAGAGCTGAGGGA